GTGAATAACGCTAGAGGTCGGACATGTTTGTTATTATGTTTATCAACTCAGACTAAAAACTCGTTACTTACTATCATCAAGTTTTTAATCATTCTTCAGCTTTCAAAGCGAAAAGTTATAAATTCTCGTTTGAAAAGGTTTAAAATACATTACATAAATACTTGCAGCGGAAAGAGTCAATTCGGATAAACGGTTAGTTATATAAAACAAATACTTGTAAATTTTGAAAATAAATTTATGTAGATACTTTCCTTGCAGTGAATTGTTCATTTTAGAAGGGAATTAAAGTTTACAAAATAAAATAAAAGTCATTCAAAACAAATTTACAATCATCCTGAAAAAGCTTCGATGCTTTAACAAGTTTAAGCTAAATTAATTCCTAGAATGCGCATTATAAGGAGTGTCTTGGAAGCACAAGATTTGAATGTCAAGGTCGTCCTGGAGGACATATTTGCGGACTTCAAAAACTGTCACGAGAAATGTCGCTTGTGTTTCGTACCAGTTACCAAACGATACTCGAGAATAAAAATCACAGATGAAATACAAAACAAGATTAATTCTGTCTTGCAAGTTCACTTATCAATAGATAGAACAGGATCAGAATTTATATGTTCTGAATGTGGGAACAATTTAAATAATGTCCATCTGTTTAAGTGCAAAATAAAAGAGAAACAGAATTATTTTGAAAAGTTTAGTAACAAAAAAGTTGGCGATACTGATGACGATCTACCATTGCCATTCCAAGAGCATGACATCAAAACTGAGTATGAATTAAATATATCAACAGAGACGGAGTTGACTACACCAATTTATGAAGTTAAGGATGAAATTTTTGATCCAGAACATGAAAGTCCAAACGATGTTAATGAAAGTCGGAATGTGGAGTCAAGTGAATTTTTAAAGCAGAAGCAGTCAAATCCACAGTTTGTTCGCCGTGATGTTACTATAAAAATATTAAGAACAGATCGTCCACTTCAGCAGCATAAATATAGAAAAGATTCCAAAGCTCGTTTTTGTGATATTTGTGGAAAAGCATTTAAAAACCGAGCCTACATTGCTGCTCATATGAACACGCATAAGAAATATAGAACAAAAGATTATCATTGCCATATTTGTGAAAATAAACACTTCGATAAAAAACAACTTAAAATTCATACAATAAATGCTCATGGTAAATCTGTTTCTTGCGATATTTGTGGAGAAGCATTAAAAAATGGTCTCGCACTAAAGCGGCATAAATTAACAATACATTCCAAAAAATTTCCATGTGAAATATGTGGAAAAGGTTCAAGAGATTCATACAGTCTTGCTTTGCATATGAACACGCACAAGAAAAATAAACCTTGTATAAATGTTAACTGCTCAATATGTGGAAAAACTTTTAAGACGGAAGAGGGCTTGAAAAACCACATTTCACGTCCTCATCGTCCTCATCGTTTACCTTGTGAGGTCTGTGGAAAAATGCTTAGAAACGATTCACTCAAGACACATATGAGTGCAGTCCATTTCGATATTAAACCTTATCAGTGTGATATTTGTGCAAAAAAGTTCTGTAAACGAGCTCTTATTGCTCACATGAACACACATAAGGAACACAGAACAAAAGATCATCACTGCAATCTTTGTGAAGCTTCTTTCTTCGATAATGGACAACTTCGTGTCCATATATTAAATGTACATGAAAGACCAAAGCATCTTACCTGCTCAATATGCAGAACAACTTTTAGAACCGAAGAGGGCTTAAAAAAGCATAAATTACGTCCTCATCGTTTTCCTTGTAAGGTCTGTGGGAAAATGTATAAAAAGGATTTACTCAAAATACATCTAGATGCAGTGCATCTAAAAATTAAACCATATGAGTGTGATATTTGTGGAAAAAAATGCAGTAAAACAACTATTACTGCTCACATGAATACGCATAAAAAACACAGAACAAAAGATTTTCAATGCACCATTTGTGAAAGTTCTTTCTTTGATAATGGGCATCTTCGACAACATATTTTAGGTAAACATATAAAACCAAAGCATCTCACCTGTTCATTATGCGGAAGAATTTGTTGGACAGTAGAAGGTTTGAAGAGGCATGAGCAACTTCCTCATCTATTTCCTTGTGAGGTCTGTGGAAAAATGCTTCGAAAGAATGGACTCAAGTCACATATGAATGCAATGCATTTCAAAATTAAACCATTTCAGTGTGATATTTGTGGAAAGAAATGCGAAAAAACACATCTTGCTCATCATGTGAAAACGCATATTGATTTTGAACACAGAAAAAAAGACTTTCAATGCTATATTTGTGAAACTTCATTCTTCAATAAAAATATACTTCGACGACATATCATAAATGTTCATGAAAGTCGAAAGAATCTCAACAATTCATCAAAAATTGACTGTAAAACTTGTGGTAAAGTTTTTCAAGGCCCAAATGCATACTTCAATCATATGATTAATATTCACAAAATCACCCCATCCAAAGAACAACTTCAAACAACAGTTGCATGTGATGTATGTGGGAAACGTTTCTTCACTATTCAAAATTTGAAAATGCATAAATTTTATCATGAAGAGAAAAATTATATTTGTGATTATCCTGGATGTGAGAAGAAATTTAAAGCAAAAAGAAATCTTTCAAAGCATACTTTTATGAATCATAAATAATCTGTGAACTATATCTAGTTGGAAACAGATGCAAATTCTGAATAGGAAAAAAGATAGCACGCCATTTTAAGATATTTATTAGAAATTGGTATATATATAGGAATAAATCTTATCTTTAATGAACGTTTAGTTTATTGTGATTGAAAAACCCATGAAATTTATCACATGCCATCTATTTACTGCGAAGAAATAAAGTTTTTGTAAATTTCAATTAAAATATTTTTCACAGATCATTCTTTTCTTTAATAATTTTTGTTTTCTTTATTTCTTGCTGCTATTTATTTCCAGGTGTACATTAAAGTCCATTTCTAATTGTCTACATTGAAGAATTGGCATAAAGGTTTGTTTTAAGCAATTTTTGCCATTCACTTCCCATTGGGTATTGGAATTTTTCAACGCATTCAGCTTTTAATTCAGTGTTATAACCTGATGATAAATTAGCAATATAACAAGCATTCTGAACAATAGCTGGGTTGACAAACTGGTCATGCTGTTGGTCTACAAACTCGATATATCGACCTTCTTTTGAGCCAGAAACTGAAGTATAATCCCAAAATTGTAAATGTTGAACCATTTCACTTAATCCAACACCTCCTAAAAATAAATTCTTGTAAATTTAAAATTAAAAATTTATTTGTTTTATTTACCTGCATGTGGACAAACTTTCTTGTTAAACTTTTTTGCCATCAAATAAACAAGTAAAATCTCATTGACTCCTCCAATGCGTGCTGAATCGACTTGACAAAACTCGAAAGCATTGGCTGTTGAATTCAACAGATAAAATTAAGAATAAATTATCGAATTAATTACACATGCCTTGGAAGAATTGCTTAAACACTACACGATTGGCAATCATTTCACCGGATGCAACTCCAATATTGAATGGCCTTATGCCGTTGAACAGAAAAATATATAAAAAA